TACAACTGGCGGCCAACTTGTGGTTATGTAAGTATAAAAGGAATTCATAATGCAATAAACGAATTCAATATGCATTATGCAGTATCCCCCCATGCAATATACCCTCCAGCTGAGTGCCTCTGATCCTGTGATTCTCCGTGTGACATCCTTGATTCTGCGTAACTTCTGATCCAGTAGAGATATGAAGGTGGTTCCAGTGAGTGACTAGGGGTTAAATTGGCCGTAGATTCCATTTCTGACGTCCATTTGTTTGTATCTTGAGTCCTTCATTGATAAATAATAAAATTTTGAATTTTCTCCCTTCATACACAGGAATAATGACCACAACGTAGAATTCACACTTGCTCTGGTTCCAAACCAATCTCAGAATAATAGAATTGTCGATTGAATGCAACACAATGGAATAAAACTAGTAATGTTCAGAACTGATGGGAATTAAGGACTATAAATTTGAAGGGAGGCCAGGAAAGCAGACTTTGATTAAGGTTTGATACTAAGCTTGTGAATCTTTCTGGTCAAAAGATCTTCGACTGGATCAACAACTTGATGTGAATACAATGATGGCAGGTTGGAAGATGATGGGGCTTGCTGTCCATTGGGTACTGTTATCAAGGCACCCCCACAGAATGAGCATGCATGTTTTTCTGGTTTGAGTGAATTTCTGTTTCGTCCATGTCTAAATAATTAATGTTATTTTTGGGAGGTGGTTGGGAGTGGTGATGACTGTTAGGAAATTTGCTTCGTAGTACAAAGTTATGTTTACACTGTTTAATCAATCATAAAAACACTCACTGTTTACCGCAACCTGGGCTAGTACATTTCCAATAAAATTTGAAAGAAATGTCATAGTGATGATTGGTTGTGATTGTGATACCTGCGAAAGCTTCCTGAACCCTTTTGCCCCACGACTTGAAAAGCGGACCATGGTACTCTTTCTGTAAAAAATGAAGAAGAAGAAAAAAAAATCAACACAATCAAAACCTGACTACGTGCAATGATAAAATAAAAAAGAAGAAACCTGGTTTTGGTCAATAACCCAACAGGCTGCATGGCACAGTTTGTGCGCCAGGTTTTGTCTAAGCCGCTCGGGACTGTCAATAATCTGTGAAGATAACTCAATCACAACAACCTCATCGCCAACATGCTTGCCAGTGTTGTTTTTCAATGGTTCAACCTTGGTTTGACCGGCGGTTGAGCTGAGTTTGTTGTTCCAGGTTAATTGTATTGGTGTGAGTAGTTGGGGGTTGATAAGCGCACGCCAACCCCCAAGGCGCACGCCACTTGCAGATTGGCGTGCAGGCCCACACGCCAAAGCAGATTGGCGTGCAGGCCTGCACGCCAATATGCTGCAAGGTTGATTGGCTTGCAGGTCCTAAACCCATATTAATATGGGTTTAGGACCAGGGCTATCCCATAGGACCCAGGCATGGGTCCTATGGGATAGACTATGTAGCCTTGTAGGACACCGGCCGGTGTCCTACAAGGTCGACAAGGCCCACCTTGCCGGCCAGGAGGGAATCCTCCTGGTCGACAAGGTTGTACAACCTAGCCGCCAGGAGGGAATAGTCTCAAGGCTGACGAGGCGTAGACTCTCGGCCTTGAGACTGTAGAGTCTCAACGCCGAGAGG